GTAGCGTGTCAGATGATCGACGCCGACAATAATCCACCGGTTTCCAGAGCGACTATATGGGAGGGGGCCATAGAGATCGATACCCACGCGGTCGAATGGGCGAGCCGGGCATGGGAGCGGCTGTAACATGCCAGTAAGGTGCCACGGAGGTGTCTTGTTTTGTTGGCAAGTGGTGCAAGACTGAACGTATTTCTGCACAAAGCGATACATTCCTCGCCAGTAATATCATTGGCGCAGCCTTTCGTAGGTTTTCAGGACACCTGCGTGAGCACTTTGAGGGTCTGCATGGAAATTCATGCAGATGTCAGAGCGCATATGAGTTGGGACAGCAAGGAGCCACTTCCGACCACCAGGCATGTAGTTGCGGCGGTACAGAATGCTGTCTCGCACGGAAAAGTGGGCTGCTTGTCGGCGTAGCGCTCTCGTGGAAGGGACAGCAGATGGATCGGTAAGGTAGTCGAGTAACAATGCAAGGTATGGATCTTTACGCTGCTCCGAAAGCATGTCAGTGGTGTCTATTGGTGACAAGGTGGTAAAAAGTGGTGACAGAGAAGCCAAATCTGGGGTTAAAGGCGATCGCGAAAGCGCATCGGCATCTGCGTGCTTGCGACCGGAACGATATACTACACGGATGTCGTATTCTTGCAATCGAAGTGCCCAACGTCCCAGGCGTCCGGACGGGTCTTTCAATGTGGACAGCCAACATAGAGCGTGGTGGTCTGTGACCACGTCGAAAGGGCGGCCGTAAAGGTACGGGCGAAACTTCGTCAAGGCCCAGATTATGACCAAACACTCCTTCTCTGTCACGGAGTAATTCAATTCAGCCTTCTTGAGAGCGCGACTTGCATAGGCGACTACGTATTCGGCTTGGGTGCCTTTCCGTTGTGCCAAAACTGCACCAAGACCGATGCCACTTGCATCGGTGTGAATTTCTGTGGCAGCAGCGGGGTCGTAGTGACGAAGAATGGGTGGTGAGGTCAGCAGGCGGCGCAGCTGGCGAAATGCGTCGTCACATGCAGGTGACCATGCAGATATACCTTTGCTGTTGGAGAGCAGACTTGTTAGAGGTGCGATGATGGACGCGAAGTTGGGCAAGAAGCGATGAAAGTAGGAGCAGAGACCGACGAAACTTCTTAGGGCTTTCAGTGATGTGGGCAACGGGAAGTCAGCGACAGCCCGAAGCTTATCAGGATCCGGAAGAACACCGTCTCTTGTGATGACATGTCCCAAGATGGTTAGTTTTCGTGCTGCGAAGTGGCACTTTTTGGAGTTAAGTTGTAGGCCCGCAGAAGTTAGACACGTCAGAATCTCGTGGAGGCAAACAAGATGTGTCGGGAAATCAGACGAAAAGACTACGATGTCGTCCAGGTAACACAAGCAAGTTTTCCACTTATGGGCACGCCAGATGGTATCGATCATGCGCTCAAATGTGGCAGGTGCGTTGCAGAGCCCAAATGGCATCACTTTGAACTCATATAGGCCATCTGGCGTTACAAAGGCTGTTTTAGGGCGATCACATTCAGCCATTGGCACCTGCCAATACCCAGAACGCAGATCCAAGGATGTAAAGTACTCAGCACCTTGTAAACAGTCAAGAGCATCGTCTATTCGTGGTAGCGGGTAGGCATCTTTCTTCGTAATCTTGTTTAAGCGGCGATAGTTCACGCAAAATCGAACGGTGCCATCATTTTTCTTTACCAGAACGACAGGTGATGACCAAGCGCTTTGAGAAGGCTGTATCACTCCACGTTTAAGCATGTCGTCTACTTGCTCCGTAATGACGCGGCGCTCTTCGGCGGAAACGCGGTAAGGACGCTGTCGCAGAGGCAAATGTGAGCCGGTGTCAATAGTATGAGTGATGGTCGTGGTGCGGCCCAAAGCAGGTTCTTGAAAGTCGAAAGAAGAGCGAAACTTGTTAAGGAGAGCAACAAGTTGGCGGCAATGCGAGAGGGGAAGGTCTGCGTCAATAGCATTGTCGAAGGCTGACAAACTTGATGGCTCAGACGCATAAGTTATTGCGGCAATGTGACATGGCATTTCGTCGGGAAGAATAATATCATCGATATGGTCGACAGGTTGCACATATCCCAACGTTTCACCACGAAGTAAGCTGATGGGGTAGTTGCAGTGGTTGGTAACCAGCATTACGGTTAAACCAGATGCAATTGTAAGAACGGCAAATGGGAGAACGATGCCCTTGCGTTCAGTAAAAACAGGAGATGGCGTAAACACCACCGTGGCTTCAGGTTGCGCCACACATGAAAGGCTTACAGGGACCGAAGCTTCCGGGGGCAAGGTGATGTCGTCGTCAGCGATGAGTTTGCAGAGCCGAGGAGACCGGTCGGGTGGTGGAAATTCATATGTTGGCACAAGGGACACTTCGGCACAGGAACAATCGATGATAGCTTCATGACCTGATAAGAAATCCCAACCGAGGATAAGGTCATGAGAGCAAGATGGCAGAACAAAAAACTGTACGACGTACAAAACGTCTTGGATGACGACGTGCGCCGTACACAGAGCCGAGGGATGAATGCGTTGCGCGCTAGCCGTGGACAGCACCATGCCACAGAGAGATGTGGTCACTTTCTTCAGTTTCCGACAAAATTTGGCGTCCATCACAGAAACGGCGGCCCCGGTATCAATTAACGCTAATGTGGCGACTCCCTCAACATCGACATCAACAACATTTTTCAGCGAAAACGGAGGCCTTGGGAATTGCGCAAGTTGCAGTTCTTGCCTCCGGAACTGCACTGATTAGTTTCCCTCCTCAGGAGGTGGTCGACGACGCATAGGCGATGGCGACCGGCGACGAGGGGATCGGAAACGAGCAGTCGATGGGCGGCGATCCGAGTCTGAGTGGCTCTGTTCATATGCAGATGCGGTGGCCTGCTGCGGCGCGTAGGTAGGAGTTCCGAAGTATGCATTTGCAGGTGTGGGGCGACAGCGGCAGAAGCGTGCAATGTGGCCAGCGATGCCACAGGCGAAGTAGATAGGACGATTGTCTTGCGTGCGCCACTCATTAGATCGATGGAAAAAGCGAGGTGAGGGCCTGTAAACTGGAGGCGAGGCCGGAGGAGGTGGAGCTGATAAGGCGACTGGATGCGGTGGGGGCCGCGCGACCACAGCTGCGTAGCTGAGAGGTGAAGGTGGTGCAGGTGGTGCGTAGCCGACAGCTGAGAGATTAGGTGCTACTGAAGTGCATGGGTAAGGGGCCTGCACTGTAGGGAGGACATCACAAATTTCCGTGCGTATGGCCTGCTGCAGTGTCGTAGGCAGGCTTGCGGTGGGCGCGTCGCTATGCGGCAGCAGGGAGAGCTGTCGGGCGACTTCCTCCCTGATGAAGTCTTTGATCTGGTTGGACAGACTTTCTTGGCAAACGTTGGCATTTGTGAGTGTGACGGCCGAGATCGAATCCGGTGGTGGGACACTCTGTCGGGCGATGGAACGCTGACGGCGCAATTCATCAAAGCTCTGGCAGAGGCTTACGAGGATTGCCACCGTGTTCGGGCTTTTCGCTAGCAACATCTGGAATGCGCCATCCTCGATGCCCTTGAGAATCTGCCGAATTTTCTCTTCTTCGGGCATAGATGGATTCACACGCCTGCAGAGGTCGAGCACGTCCTCTATGTAACTAGTAAATGTCTCGCCAGGCTGCTGGGCTCGGTGGCGCAGGCGCTGGTCAGCGCGGAGCTTGCGGACCTCTGGTCGGCCGAACGCTTCAGTGACGAGTGTCTTAAAGGAGGATCAGTTGGCGATGGTGGTTTCGCGGTTCGTAAACCAAAATTTAGCTACGTCTTCCAAGTAAAATATAACGTAGGCGAGCTTAGAGTCGTTGTCCTACTTGTTGCTGGCGCTTACGCATTCGTACAAGGAGAGCCAGTCCTCGACGTCTTGCTCACCACTGCCGCTGAAGATTGGTGGGTCCCGTTGGCGAGTAGCGCCGGGGCAGGTAGACGGGACAGCCGGTGGTGCTGGCTGGGCTGGGATAGGCTGGTTGGCGACTGCGTCAGTCATGTTTTGCAGTGGTCTCTCGGGCAACTTGCGAGAGCGGAGCTCCAGGTCTGCTTGGGGATCTCAGCAGCCTCTACCAAATGTGATGACGTTTATTGAACCGGAGAAGTCGCAACGATGTCACAACGAAAAATGGCCGTACGACAAGTCTGGCAAAAGGCGGCCCAGGTTCTCGTGCAATCAGAGCACGGGGTTTTTCCTTCTCTTTGGAAGGCGCATACACGTTAGTACGTATGCTCCACTACAAGTGGAACGTCACTTGCTGGGCTTCCCAAGCCAACAAATTACAATGCGCACAGCTCAGTTGCGCACGAAAGCATTCTATGCAAAGTCATGGTCTGCCGCCATTATGTGATGGCGATGACGCTGTGTCTGGCTCTTCTGATGAAAGGCTGTTGGCAATGTGGTTTCGGTATCATTATCCCGGACAGGCTATTTTCATGCTCTGTTTATCGGTAGAAAGATGCGCGTGAAATTTGATTTTTTTAAGTCGAGAATAAAAATTCGCTCACACCTCCTCCAACTACGCAACGCTGCCAATAGCTGCCACTGGCAAGAATAATTTAACGTACCTCTCTTGCAGACGCACAAGGTTATGCCATGGATTTATTCAGGTGGCCTGTACCCTTTTTTTTTGGGGGGGGGGGCAAGGCTGAGTTTCACTGCCTATAATCGTAGTTTTATTCATACAATGCCCGGATTATACGGCAGTTTTGTGTGGTCCCCTTAAAATTCATATAATCGGGGTTCCATTGTAAAATGCCGAAATATTAATATGAAGAAACATATTTTAAAAAAAAGTCTCGTCCTACTCTTGTCTCCTACGCCCTGCTTCACTAGACCAAATGGTTAATGCATCGTGAAAATCAAATAGTTGAGTGTGACATGATGACAGCCGATATTCCATACAAGGCATGCAGAACGAGTCCACATGAAACAGCATCGACGCAGACTCGTGTATGTGACAGCCATGCTGATAAACTTGCCTTTCCGCGGTCAAAGTAGTGAAGCATGCTCAGGTAAAGCTGCTCCTTGAGGCGCCCGTGTTCTCCTTCCTCCCAGGGCAGCAGGTCGGCGTGCAGGCGCAGCGCGAAGGCTGCCTCGGCAAAGTGCTCGGCCGGCAGGTGCAGCTCGCAGAGCTTGTGCACGTAGCGCACAAACATCTCTTGGCGACCCACTTCCTCCCGGTAAAAACGCTGCAATTAGGCACGTGCACATTCAAATGAATCCTATACCATGTGCATTATAGGCCCACATTTCCATAGTCTTAGAATAAAGCGCTGCAGGGTCACTACATAAAAAAAATAAAGGGCAATGACTCAAACACTGAGGTGAAACTCACTCTAGCTTACTAATTTATGTTTTTACTATGCAGCTCTGGAAAAGTACGCCAAAACACAATACCTGTGCCACTAGGCACAGAAAGAGGCTTTACCATAATAATGCCTTAAAATTTAATGCCATTAGGCCGTTTGTCATAATGCTAATTACTACTTATTGTGTTCAACAAAACTCGTTCAACAGAGAAATGCATAAGCTAGACACCATACAGTGTAATCACAGTTATACGCCTTTAAACATACCACACGAAACTATTGTTTAATCCGGACGTCGTAAAATCGATGAACTATAGGAACACAGGCAGTGACACTCAGACCTTCACAAGAAATGGGTGCAGACCACCTGAATAAGCCCACAACACGACCTTGTGCTTTTCCAAGAAAGGTAGATTCAATGATTCTTGCCAATGGCTGCATTACTTAGTTGAAGCAGGCGCGAACGAATCTGTATTTTCAACTTAAAAAAATCGAATCCAACATGCATAGTCAGAAAATTTCCTGCACATATAAACAGAACCGAAAGCGCATTGCCAGCAGACTCAGTCAGAAGAGTTAGGCACAGTGTCATTGTCATTAAATAATGGCGACGAAGCCAGAGTTCACAAGGTTGCATAGAATTCCCATTCTGCGGAGTGCCTTCGTGCGCGACTGAGCTGTGCATATTGCAATTTGTTTCCTTGCGAAGTGCAACTAGTGAAGTCCCGCAGTTATAATGAAAGTTGACGTCAAGTGCAAGCTATTTTGCTTGGTGAAAATAGCTGCATCGCACCTTTCTGGATGCTCAAGCTAGTGACTACGAGTGCCACATATTTTGCACTCATGAGTATTTAGTCAATGTTCAATGCAAGTGAAGATGGCTATTTATTTCGGACGAAAGCGGGAAGTGGTCGTAAGATGCGAGGTCGGCATAAAACTGTGCCGTATAACCAAGGTTTTTAATTAGGGAGTGCAAATATTTGAAAGTTTCGAATATTTGCCAAATATTAAATTCGAAATATTCATACTTCATTTGAAAATTCTGTATTCCAAAATTTTGAATATCCGATGAGACTATCGTGCGGAAGAAAACAAACTCGTCTTCCATATTTCCGCTGTGCATGAATAGCTAAAATACTGTCGAAAGCTGCAATAAACATCAAAAGTGCACGGGGCACGATGTCTGCCAGCAACGAGCGTGCTGGTGCATCTTTGACGTGTTACGCACAGTGCTGTTGGCGATCGTGTAACTGCACATCATCAATATTAGGCGGCTGTAACATGCCTCACTACCACTCGTTTACTATGCGGGACCTCGTAAGCAGAAACGAGAGCTAACCGCTGCCGCATAAGAAATCGCTTGATAATGGATGACCATGCATGTGTTAGATCCGAAACATCGTCATCGACGGCACATGCTTCGGTTAGAGAACATGAATATAAAGTGACAAAAAGCATTCTAGGTGGTAATGGGCTTTTTCTGGGTAGGTAATGGGCGCCAACCTCAAGGGGGCACGCGCCATGATTTTTGGTGGCCAAAACCTGATGGCACGTGTATACCAAGCGACATCTGGTGCCACAAACATGCATATGTTTCCCCCAACGAGAGGCGCAAACGCTGGACTCTGAGATTACCTACCCGCATGCGGCGGACAATTTCGGAGTTCAAGGGCCACCAGTTTTGATTTCGACGATCTCCTCTTGAGGTGCTGTTCGGACTAGAAAAAGGCCCCTTTTACCACGACATCCCATTTATTTCCTTTTTCAAAGAAGTGGTGCACGTGAGCAGACGAACAGTTATACTCTAATACTCAGGAATGCAGTGGCTAGAGGGGTCTCCAGGGGGCCTCCTCAACTTGGGATTTTATTGTTTAGTTACGCCACTTTTCCGGATGGTATGCGTTGATTAAAGTTTCTTGTGTTCTAAACATACTGAATATTTGCGACAGTCATCGTGCACTGACCTTTTCAGTTACATATATAAACATATATATATATTTTTTTTCGTGGTGGGCACCAGAGCGCTAGTGCTGCTATTGTTGCTATTGCTAGTGTTAGCGCTTCTTGTGGTAGAATAGGTGTATAGGTGTCCTCGGCTACAGCTGCGGCGTGTGCGATGCACAGGGTGCAGCGTTGATGCGAGTGTTTTTTGTAACCTGTGATACAATCGCTCCACTAATCGGTGCCATGGGAGATGGCGAAGTTACGGACCGCCTGCGAAACACAGGATCGGGACGCGGCAATGAAAAGAAAGAAGTGCTATCTGGAAGTACTTTGTGAAGACATCATCATTGGTGGCACAATGCAAGACATGCGGTGCGACACTTCAAACACTGACAGGTACGACTAGCCCACTTGTCAACCACCTAAAACAACTTCCAACCACTATGAAGGAGTACCGGATGACCACAGCAGGTGCGCGAGAGAAAAGACCAGTCAATGATAATTGACTGTGCGCCGTACTGAGCTGTTGTCGGAGAAAAGGACACAAGCCCTTAATAGAAAAGTGGCTGCCATGGCAGCGCTTGATTTGCAACCCTACAGTGTTGAAGATTGCGGGTTCAAGGAACTTATGGCAGAGGCAGTTGGTAACTATCAGCTGCCATCACGCGCCACACTTGCATGTATCCTTGTTCCACGTTCATACGATGATACCAAGAAGAAAGTGAAAGCTGAACTGAGCAATGAATTTTGAAGGCGGCACAACAACTATCAACTTTACCAGTGACATGTGGACATCACGCATCAACAAGAGCTACGTGGGCTTCACGTGCCACCTTCTCACTCCTAGTTTTGAAATGAAGCGGTTCACGCTTAATACTCGCCACGTGGATGTTTGCCATTCCGCGGAAAACATCGAACAAATACTTGATAAGATGTGCACAGAATGGGAAATACCAACCAGCTGTCGAAAGTACATCATCACAGACAATGAATGTAACATGCGTGCCACGGTCAGAAGGCTCCCAGGGACTGAGCGTTCATGCTTCGCCAGCCTCCTCCACCAGCCAGCCCCCTCCGCCAGCCCCCTCTATTCTGGATGCGATCACCCACACACCTCCAATTGACCGTCTGTGCTAGAGAAGGAGACAGATTGTGGGAAACTACAAGCACAGCTTTTCAGCGCAAAAGAGGTTGGATCAGTACCAGAAAAAGATGGAAAAAGAGCCTCTATGCAAGTTCAAGATGTAGATACAAGGTGGAACAGCCAATACCTGATGCTGCCCGTCTCTTGGATCTGAAGGAGGCTGTGTCTGTGGACGGAGCTTGCTACGTCAAGTAGAAGCATTGATGGCCTCTGCTCAGCGCAGTGGAAAGAGGCATCTAAATATGTGCAAGCACTGAAGTCTTTATATGATGCCACTGTTATAACCAGCCCGGACAAATACCCATCCTTTCCAACACAGATACCCCTTATTTTTAGCATTCTAAGTTGCCTGAGCAACTTTAGCAGCACAACTGGATTTGGCAAGGAGCTGGCGAGGTCAATTATTACCCGGTTCCCCTTGATACCGAGAACAAATAATCATGTTTGGCCTTGTTTTTAGACCCACGCTTTAGGGCTATCGTGTTCAAGAGCAACAAACCAAAGCTGACGTGGTTGAAGGACCTTGTACCTCAAGATGTTGCCCTATTTCCTGCTGTGGAAGTGATACAACAAACAGCTAAATCGCAGGTGCCGCAGCAGTGTCTGCAGCGATCGTCCGATGTTTAGAGTGCGTTTGACAATCTCGCGAATAGTCAAGTCGGGAACGCAGCACTGTCTTCTTCAAAATGGGAAATTAATGCATACCGTATTTACTCGCATAATCCTCACACTCACATAATTCTCGCAATCCTCACATCGCCCGACAAAAATACGATTTTTTTTTTCCTCGAGTAATTATTGCACCCCCGAAAATGCCGCAATAATGTCGTCTGCTCGTTCCAGCCACTGATGATGATAGCGTGTGCTGTCTGGCGCCATCTTCTGAACATAGAGCTTACTATCATTGCATCAAGATTCAATCCAATCCAAGACAAAGTGGCAAGTGCGGGTTGCGGTGCGATTTGTATGTTGTGTCTGTAATCTTGTTACGTCATGGGGGGATACGGAAGCTACACGGTTGCTTTCAAGTTGAAAGTGATTGATCATGCACTAAACAACGGCAACAGGGCCGCTGGTAGGCCCTTCGTAGTAGACATGTTTTGTGTTTGCTGCTGGCGACGGCAGCTGAAAGCCACCAAGACATGTTGGGCCTTCTGTGTGCCTAAGACTGGGTTTGATGGTAAACTTTATTTCTTCAGATGACAACTGCAAACGATACTGTTAAATGGCCATCATTCCAATACTGACGTCCTTCGCTTACCTTTTGCGGACTCCTGTTGAGCGACGCACGCTACAGCTACGCCCGCAACGCCCGCAACGCCCGCAACGCCCGCAAGCTTTGCGTACGGTATTCTAATTCTCGACTATTTGCTTGCACCTTTTGTGTCTCAAATTTTGCCTTGTGTTGAACCCGTGCTTGTAATGTTGAGGTAAGTCTTAATTAGTACTTCTCAAAGCTTGCTGTTAGTTGCTGGCGTGAGAATCCCGACTTGCGGCCACGACTTGCGGAAAAAGAATTTTGTTTTCTTTTTCGCTCTGTACGTTTTCGTAGAAAGTTTTCCCCGCATGATTCTCGCACCCCACAGCTTTGCATCAGTCTTTCGCCAAGAAAAGTGCAAGGATTATGCGAGTAAATACGGTATTCTGAAGAACTTCTTCTGAAGAAAGACAGTGACCCATGTGACTGGTGGCGGGCTGTAGGCACTTTCAGGTACCCCAGTCTGGCAAAGGTTTGCCCCACGTGTTTCCCTGCACCAGTCATTTCTGTTCCAAGTGAGCGTGCCTTTCCAGGGGTTGGGGGGGGGGGGGGGGTTGTCTCTATTAGGAGGGAGCGCATGCTGCCTGATCATGTGCAGCAACTCATATTTTTTTCGTGACAACATTTAGTGATTACTTTCATTGTGCTTGCAATGTGCCGTGACGTTGAGTGGGCTAACCTGGACGTTACGTTTTGAACTAGATAGCAGTGTGCCTTGTGTTGTGTTTATGTATTTCTTTTTCAAATAGCAACATGTTAAATAAAGTATTGTCACTGTGGAGGTATTCTTTTGATATTCTATATTCGACTCAATATTGGAAGGTGGATATTCTTATGTGATTCTTATTCGAGAAATTTTATATTCCCACACCCCCCATTTTCAATACATTATCTTTATGGGAGTTTTGCCCGTACCAAACCAATCAGTCGCAAAAAGTGGGTCGTCCTGAGACTGGGGGACGTATATTCGGAGTTCCACTGTAGCTTGTGCAACACAATATACTTTAAGTCTTGGCATATATCGCATAAAAAATATTGTATACCTGACTCCTTCCGTTGAGGGACAAACAAGTACATGTACATCAATCTGAACAGCCACAAAACAGTCAAAAATGTATTGTGACGCTCAGTATGAGCTACACCGCGCGAGCACATCGACAAGCATAACGATATCCCAGCATCAAAACAACTCACCAGCAAATTGACCGTGCAGCTCATGCGTTTGTCCCGGTTTTCGGCTCCGTCCATGACGCTCCTGCACAAAAGGTTAAAGGGAACCTGAAACGTTTCTCATAATTTTTAACAAACACATCGGATCGGTAGACCAAACCCCAAGGATAATTTAGAGACCGATTTGAGCTCTCTGCGTAAACTGTGTAATTTATTAGAACGCTTCAAAGCTGCGAATCACTGCAGATCGCTGCGACTCGGCCAAACACGTTTTCAACCACCCATACACCAAGCGACACGCTCAGCCCCACCGACGCCTTTATTTCCAGCTGATCTGATTGGCTGTGGAATGCCCAGCACAGACAGCCAGTATCGAATCGGCAGCAGGATGTAAGTGTATGCGGTCTCACGCCATATCGTGACACAGGTGCCATGAAGGCAGCGCTTAGCGCCGAGCGCTTCGAAGGAAGAGTTAAGGGCAGTTAAGAGTGAAAGGCAGAGTGGAGGAGGATGGTACTTTTTTAGTACTTGTAGCTCCGTTAATAATGGGTGTTTCGACTGAACTCTGGTGCCAATGATTTGCTCCAGTAGTGGTCCAATCAAAAACGAATTGTAAAAAAACCCTTTCAGAGACCCTTTAATGATTAAATGACTGAGTGTTTGGTGTCAAGCTTAAAGGGCTGTCCACACAACAATCACTCAATGCTAGTTTGTTAAATCAGATGTTCTTCCATTACAAAGTGCCACTACGACTAGACTAAACGAATTCCCACCTGTAGTCGAGCAGTCGGTCAAGTTGGTGACCAACAGCCTCAATGAAGCGAATGCCATTTTCACGCCAACAAGGGTTTTTCTTTCGCACTTCTTCCAGAAGGCTGAAACAAAAGAAGGGGCACCTATAGACACGAACAAACAACATGCATGCAGCCATCCAGGATATGTTTATTTAAAACTTTCCTTGATCAGTTGTCTATTAGGCTTGTGCTAGTTGAATACTAGGCTTGTGGGAATAGTGAATTTTAAGTTTGAAGCGAATAGTGATGTCGGTCAAATAATTTCGAATCAAACTCAAATAGTATACAGTCGAACCTCGATATATCGAACGGCGCAGCGATCGCGAAATAGTCCGATATATCCAGAATCCGATATAAAAAAATCACTGAAAAAATGCGTCAACAGCTTGCTGAAAACAACCAACGAACCGCTCAAGCGTGGTGCAGTAAATACTCAATTTGAAGATTCAAACATAGTATTTATTGTGTTGGTTTAAAATATTGAAAAAGAGTAGCCTGCTTTTTGTTGGCCATGGCGTGTTTGACGACTGCGTCCTCAATATAGTCCAGGCGATCCATAAGTGATAAGGCCGGTGCCTTCAATCGCGCCGCAGTGGCGGCGCACAAGGGCCAAGGCAGCTACGACCTCAGCTGATGTCGGGAGCGGGGCACCATCAGCGCTTGCGGGATCCACCTCGGCAGAGTCTTCATTTGGCTGCTCAGCAGTAGCTTCGACGACAATCTCCACATCCATGAGCTCCGCCGTTCAAAGTTAGGCCTGTCGCGCGCGACAGGCCTAACTCCGAACGCACGAACACTGCGAGCACAACGACCGATGCCTGCCGATGCTACGGGGCAGGAGCTTGCAACAAGTGCGCAGTGTGCCGTTGACACCATAGAGACTGCAACGACTGCAAGCTGCAAGGCTGTGACGCGAGTCCAGGTGTAAAGCGCGCACATGGCGCGTCCATGCCAGCTCGCCTGACTGCTTTCCCTTTCTCGGCGGCAGCGCGGGCCGCGTCCGAGACAGTTGTCTGCATCCTTTCCCTCCTATACTTTCTTCCTCAATCTTTACCTCCCACTACCCTTTCCCCCGCGCGAAGCTGTGTTGGTGCCTTCGTATTGAAAGACAATAATAGCTTCGCGCTTCTCTCTTTACTTTCCTCATTCAAGAACCTCTACCGCAAGGCTGCGGTGCACGTACGCCGCTACGTTAAAGTGGCACTCTCGGCGCCATCAATGTGTGCAGCATTCGTAAACGCCCGCCGCTGTACCGCTATATTCGAGAGTTGCGGGAAAGCTCGCCGCCTGTCAATGGAGCGCGGGCGGTTTGGGGTGGCTGAGTTCGATACATCCATTATATGTCAAACTTTGTTCGAAATAAAAAATCAATAATGCATGCGATTTCCCGCGTGGTATGGGAACCGTTCGATATAGGCAATAATTCGATATATCCGTGTTCGATATATTGAGGTTTGACTGTATATCACAAAAGGTATGAATAAAAATGGGCTTATCATGACCTAACCTACACAACATATATATTTTCCAAGTTGAACCAAGACCTGTGCAAATGCTTTTTTTTCAACGAAGTGGAAACAACTTTCAATAGTAGCAAGATTTGACTTTTGATAGAATGCAAATAATAACCTGTAAAATATATGAAGTTTCATTATTTACTAAAATTGAAGCTCATAGCAGGTATAACAGGCTTTTAAACATAAAAAATGATGAATCGATGCGAGAGCAATATGTTCACTTCCCCTTGAAGTAAGGCTTCACGGCAGTACAAATTTTTAAATAAATGTTTTCACGGTCTAGCAAGCCTTCACTGCAGTGAAACCACCTTTAAAAGAGTTACACGTGGACATTTATTTGTTTAGTATGAATAGTTCGAAATTTCCAATCATTTAAATTCAAATCGAAGCGAGTTAAAATACTGTATTATTCGCATGAATATTCAAAGCATTGAATATTCTCACAAGCCTAAAATCCACCTTGTATTTCTATAGTTGCATATTCAGTAGTACATATCTTAAAGGGACACTAAAGTCAACACAATTTACGTCAGAGTGAAAGCCCAATGTATGACAACATCTAAAACGACAATATTATCAACAACAGTGCCCTACTTACTGAGAAATAAAGTAAATGCACAAGAAAACAAGCACCGCAGTAGGACAGTTTCAAAATAATCCAGGATGACATCAGACGGACCGCCTACAATTAATTCCTAGTAATCGATCTAACTGCACTAAATAAAGAACCTTTTGTGCATTAAGAGACGCAATAAAATGCTGCTTGTTCATTTCCGTTTGATTCATGGAAAAAACTAATCACTGGGCGTTACTATAGGGAATGGCACTAGTGGTTCAAAAATTCAGTTTTCGCGTGGTTACACGGGACACGTGGTGCCATCAAGCGGAGCTCAGTTGAACCAACAAAAAATCTGCAATCTTGAAGCCAATGGCAGGAAATGGATCAAAGGCCATTGTTGCTGCTGTGGCTCCCACTGTTTTCAGTCTGCTGCTACTAGCACAGCAAAGCCGAGCAACGTTGTGCATGGCAACAGAGGCGTGAGACGGCCTGGTGCGTCTGCGTCTTGAGGCGGTCTTGCGCTAACTTGTGCGCTAACTTGATGCGGAGCGCTAAAATGTGATTTTATTTCGAAATAAGCCCTTCCTTGGCACAAACGTAACACTACGAGGTTTCTGGACTGCCATTTCAACAATCTACGTTACCGTATTTACACGATTGTAAGACGACCCTTTTTTTCAAATTTGACAATCCAATGTTGGGGGGTCGTCTTAGAATCGAAATCGAACCATGTACCTTAGAATCGAAATCGAACCATGTATTGTCATCTCGAATAGTTTCCCGCTCAACCCAAAGCGCATAGTTTTCCGCGTGCTTATACAAAAGCTTTTCTTTTTTTAGCATCTACTGCGCGCATTACGAGTGCCTTTATGACGAGCGCACGGCTCTTGAGGGAGCACCGGTAATCGATGGAAGAGCCGCTGTAGGGGGGTATTGGTAGTTGACGGAAGAGCTCCTCTTTGTCGGGACAGCTTGACGGGGCAGCTTCAGCCTCTCGACGTGGGGGTCAACAAGCCTTTTAAAGACCTCCTGCGCCGCGAATACGAGTGGATTTCATCAGGAAGCCGCGAACTTACGCCAAGCGGGCGTGTGAGGAGAGCCTCCCTGGCTACTGTGTGCGGGTGGGTCCTCTCCACATGGGCGGCCGTCCCACGCGATGCCGTGGTGCGGTCGTTCGCGAAGTGTGGACTCACACTTGACGACGACGTGCTGTGGGACTGCAGCAGCAATGACGGCAGCAGCACCAGCGAGGACGACTCCAGCGACGATGAATAATCCTCCGCAACCACGTGAATAAATTTCCCTTGTGTAAAATGCGCGCGTTCTTTTTTTTTTTCGAGATGCGATTTTGGGGGGGTCGTCTTACATTCGAGTCGTCTTACAATCGTGTAAATACGGTAACTTAATAGCTGACTTTTGTGTCCTTTTAGGAACTATGTAAAGGTGCTTTAGTCTCAAAATATGGGCAATATGTTTATGTATATATACTTGAAGTGCGTGAAGACCTGCTTTACCAAACTAAAAAAAGTGCCCTAGCCTCCCTAGCCATCAGTGCTGAAAATGTCTCCTTGAAATAAAAAACACAAATAAAGCACAGGGTCCACGGAGGTGACGTGGCTTACAGCGGCATATGGGAAGCCTGGCGCATAGTTTTGCAGCACTCTGAAGCATGATTTAAAAAGCATGGTGGTTTATTCACACTGCTATGCTATTCCTAGAACTAGTTCTTCCTCCTCTTAAGTAGTACCCCACTACCAGCCCATGTTCCAAGTTGCTGTGCGCCAGAAGAAGAAGAAAAAGGTGTGCCACAGGTGCCCCCTTCCCCCACTCCTCCCCTGTCCTGCCGAAAAGTTGTGAATGGGACTTGTAGAGATGGTCAAATGGAGCTGTTCATAGTAGGTGCTGGCGTGATCTTTTTTACTGTGCCTTCACCCCAGTTGTGCAGAATTTTAAGATGGTGTTCCGAATGTTTGATGACTGGGAAAGGAATGTCATATTGAGGCTGAAGAAAAGTGACTGTTGTACAGTGGACTGACTCCTCTTAAGTGCAACTCAAAGGGGCAAAGAAAATTTCTTCCATTATAAGTAAAATTTAAGCAAAGCCCACAAAATTAATGAAATATGATTAATGAAATAGTAGCTTCAATCTTTGTTTTATAGTTGCTAGAATACCATGGCCAATTCCAATGCTCATGGAGTTTGCCCGTTTTAGTTACATTAAACTAACATAAGCAAGAAAAAAATTGTTTGACTGCAAGAAACATTTATCAATATATAGAAGACAAACTAAAAGTGCCTACATGATTTGGTTTATGCGGGCTTTCCATTTAACAAGAGTTTCCTTTTATGGGAGTCCACTGCACATGGAGTTTCAGGAAGGGTCACGGGAGGGTGTCTCTTATGTCGGCCATTGCCTGTAGTGGCAATGTGTCAAGGAGTATCTCGTACTTGTGAACTTCTGACACGACACAATGAGTGCGAAACTTGTTCTTGGCTTGTATGAACCATTATGGCAAGCCGATTCTTCATAATGCGCTAGCATTAGCGCATTATGGTGGTAGAAACTACTGTGACACTTGAAGAGGGTACCTGGCCTGTTTCCATGGTAGGAGTACTAGGACTGAGGCTGCATTGTTGCACTGCTGCATCTTTCTTGTCTCTTTCCCTAATCCCCCAGTGTAGGGTAGCCAACCGGATGTCTTTCTGGTTAACTTCTGCCTTCTCCCTTTTTGTTGCTTCCTTCTTTCATAGAAGGTAAAGTTCATAGTTCGGGTCACTAGTATACTTCGGGGTCTTATTCATTGGAGAACTTTAAAGTATTCTCTGAACGCTCGTTGAACAGCATATATGGTGAGGTAGGTGATTTTATGCAAGTGGGGTTTAGAGCCATAGTGTGTCACAGAAAACCGGTAAATCAGTAATGTTATCTACCAGGCGACAGCGGCTCATTTTACGAACTGATGAAAACGCCTCAAGAAGTCGGCCCCTAAGATTGTATAGCAGAGCTTTGCCATCCAAAATAACCATTGTAACCTCCTCTTGAGGCTGAGATCAAGGGTCAGGGACTTCCGTCCGCCAGTTGCAATGACAGAAGAGTTGATCGCTTGTAGAGGAATTGACTTTTTACGGAAACATCAGTCAGCTTTGGAAGCAGGAATTACGCTGACTTCTGTCCCAGTATCGATCAGCAAGCGTAGTCCTGAGGTTCAGTCAGTGATGTAGAGGCGGCACCGGGATGATTGGCCGTTATCACCTGCTGCTGTTTTGGACAATCAACATGAGCCTTTCACATGTGCCACAAACAAGCTGACACTCACTAGCGAGTCATGGCGCGAATATGCCAGATATAAGAGCACAAAAAATGCTCAGGCCGATTGTCAATAGTTCTATATTGTGCGCAGCACTGCCCTCTTGTAAGTTCACAGATATGCACTCCTACAGTGGCAGTTCAGAATTCCCATGCTTACGCACTCACATGGAAGTAAATAGCTGCTGGTACTGCTCATCCCCACTGCCAGCAGTCACCAACTCGTCCAGCTGCTCCATGAGCTCAGACTCCACCTGGGACAGACAGACAATATTCGTTGAACATACAGAATAGAATAAGTCAATACATTAACAGCATGGTAATCATAAACACCATCAGCCTGCATTGTGTACAATGCTTGACAAAGGTCTTTTTCGATGACCCCTAATTCATCCTATCTTAAGTGAGCCGATTTCATTTTATGCCTGCAGATTTCCTAACTTCAGCTTCGTCACACCACCTGCCATCCTTTGCTGCATTTTCCTTTCATTGGAACCACCAGTTAGTTTTCTCAGGCATTTAGTGACCTGCCCAGGTTCATTTCTTCCTCTTGATCTCTACTAAGATAGCTACGATCCCTGCTCGTTCTCTGATCCAGTATAATGTCTTTTGATCTCCTGCGACTTTCTGTTCCATCAAATGCTGCACAGTACTTAAGTTCTTAGAGAACCACTTTTGTCATACTCTGGTAAGCTAAATATGTCAACGCAGACAAATTGCTAGAATTAAACACTATCTTAACTTATGGCGCGAGAAAAACACGAGAGAAAGGACACGCACTTGTCCTTCTCTCGGCTTTTTTTCGCACCAGAAGCTACGTTAAAAATGAACCAACTCGCCCAACAAGTCACTCTGCTGAACACTATCTGCTTTTGGGACAGTAGAAGATTGCCTGTTGAAATCGGGAATGCCTGCAAGTACACAGTCTGCAGCCTTTGCTCTCTCTCTCCTTCCCCGGAGTAATCCGAAAAATGGCAGAAGTTCCAGGGGAAGGTCGAAGCTTGCAGAAACGAAAAAATTGGCAGATCCCACGTACAGTGGAAATCGATGATATGCGAAGCAGGAATGAGAAATGTTGATATATCACTTTCAAATCAGCACAACACTAAGAGGTGGAGGTAAATGATGCTGTACATGACTTCCGTGTCATCATTATCATATTTGGATGCGTTGTTTACCTTCGTCATCTATTCACATCACGTAATACCAAATTTACCATATGTGGAGCTAGTGAAACGGCCGCGAGCACGCTATGAGCGTGGTATGATGTCATGTTCTTACATGACACGCATGTCAGGATTATCATGTTTGCACCAGTCATATATTTCCTCATCCATTGACGTCACATAACACCGAATTCGGCATATATGGAGCTAGCAAAATGGCTGCGAGTACATCATTAAGGGCCCAATATACTACAACGTAGCGTAGACGCGCGCGCACACTGCGAACAGCGACGCTACATTAGAAAAAACGCGAGCACTCTACAGTCTGACGCCAGGCGCGACTAGCGTCCGTCGGCGCGGCTCAATGGCAAATGACGCGAAATGCGACATACTGCGTTTCGCGCCAATGCCATATAAGTAACATTACTCTATGCCGATGCGTTACCCACACAACACTGCGTTTCCCTCTTTTCGTAACGAAGGGACGCCGGACGCGCTAAAACGTGCATGCATCAAAGCAACACAGCGCGGCATGCGCCTGCCAGTATATGGCAGGACCTGTGCCTGGCGTGGCAATGCAGTTGTGATGCGACGAAATGAATGCCGGCAAGCACGCGCACCGCGTCATGTCGAAATGTATTGGCGCCTTGACTGTAGCATGTAGTCATGTTCTCACTTGACACGCATCTCATGATTATTATGTTTGCACCAGTCACATACCTTTGTCGTCCATTGGCGTCACGTAATACCAAATTTGGCATATGTGAAGCTAGCGAAACGGCCGCGAGCGCATCATAAGTGTGGCATGTAGTCATGTTGTTACATGACACGCATGTCGTGATTATCATGTTTGCACCAGGATCATATTTTCGTCATCTATTCACGTCCCGTAATACCATATTTGGTATAGGTGAAGCTAGCGAAACGGCCGCCAGCGCATCATGAGCGTGGCGTGTAGTCAAGTTGTACGTTGTTACCTGACACACATCTCATGATTATCATGTTTGCACCAGTCACTTACCTTCATCATTCATTCACATACCATAATACCAAACCTTCTTGGTAGATATATGTGACGTATATGACATTTCTGACATATAGGTCACAATTTATATGTTATGACTAGTCAAATATGTTCTTCATACAGCCATGTTATGTCATACCAAGTTTGCAAGTTTGGTATTGATACCATAATCAAAATGGACAGGAGAGCTAAAAGACATAGGCGGCTACATACATACACACATACATGTGACGTATGAAGCGATGGTTGGTAGAGGCCGAGACAAGGAAGAAGTGCAGAATGAAATAAACATGGCGTATGAGCCAGGCCACGTCTTCAAATTCATCACAGCGTCACAAGAGTCGACAGGATGAAGACCTCGCAACCACTTCATCGCCCGACCATCATTATCGAAGACCTCAGCGAGACGCAGTGACAGAACGCGGACCACAGAAGAACGCGGACCACCAAGACCACCAAGCATCATGACAGCAGCATCAGACGACCTTGACATCCTTAAGTTGTGGGGATCTGAGGCGCGCCCGCGACCATTTCGCGGGCATTCCGCCACACGGCCACACCCTTTTGCTTTCCCGCTCTGTTAACACCACGTGGCGATAGATGGCGCCACGTGCGGGCACGGCACGCGGTACGCGCGCGCCGAGGGAGCGCTCTTTTTTCCGTTGGTCGGCGCCGGGTAAGCACGTGTTTTCCTTCGTCCGCGTCCCCTTTGGGAATTGCCGGACTGTAGCCTGCCTGGGGTGGCCTTGGTCACCTCGGCAGGCGTGTTTACTTGAGTGCTAGCTTCGGTAGCGTACGCTAAGCCCACAGCGGTGCCTAGTGCTTGAAGTGGTCGTACCACAACGAGCCGCACTTGCCGTAGGCCTACGCGTACGAGGTTTGCCCTAACACTCGCGACCAGGCCCATTGGCCATCGTGAGAGTGCGCAGCATAGCCGCGAGGGACCTTTTCCCGACCGGCGTGTCAAAGCTCGCCATTGCCAGCTGCGACGTGCTCGCGGTTTTACACTTATTGTGAACGTCCGCGTGCAGGTGCCTTTGCTACCCGTGTCCCGGGAGCGGACGTTGTACTGTTGCTCGGGGTGCTGCCAGAGGCAATAAAGTGTTGTGTACTTTTGCATTAGAGCACTGTCCATTTGCCGCGCCGCGCTAAACGCCTTATTAGTTGAGCGCGCGCGGAGCGGTGCGCTACACGCGAGTAAACGGAGTAGTGGCCCTGTGGCTCGCTAAGCGTGAACCCGCGGTGATCGTCCGCTGCAGTTAGAGCGGGGTCACCACACTGGCGCCCAACGTGGTATCAAAGGCTCATTAAGCCTTTGATTAGTCTTAGCCGAGTCAGCCCGCCTTTGCGAATCAGGCTCGCCGCGTTTGCCCGCGTTATGTCTGCTCCGCGTGAGTTCTGTCCACTGACGCTTTTAGCAGATACCGCATTGCTCGAGAACAGGGCCAGTGCCCCCCTTGAGCATCACAATCGCGCACCCTCACTTGTCACAAGCCCCAGTCGGGATGACACGAGGCGCTACGTATCAGCTCCCACTGGAGAGGTATCGTGTTTGGGTCCGGGGCCACAGCCCAACCCGAACAGTGCACGAGGGCAAATTGGACTACTACTGCTCCCTTTGGAATGCATGGCAGTTCCATGTCACAGCGCTCCGAAACGGCTCTCAGTGGAGCTTCCTGAGCGCAAATCGGCATCGCGGCCTTAGGCGTTGCCGAATTTTGCCCGCTGGCTGCTACGCAACCTGGCAGCCAAGTTAGTAGCGGCGCCACCATACTGGCGCATGACGCGGTATCAAAGGCTCATTAAGCCTTTGGTTAGTCTTAGCGAGCCAGTTCGCCTGCGCGATTCGGGCTCGTCGCAACATGTCTGCTCCGTGGCATTCGGCGTTGCACAAAGAGGCCACCGCCTCTATCGACGGGTGCCCTTGGGCGCTCGCCTGTGTCGTCACCCCTTTTTGTGGGGAATACACTCCTACGTGGTAGCTGATGCGCTATCTCATGCCCCCTGTTGTCTGCCGAGAACCTGGATTTCGGTGCGACGGCCGCTCGCAGTGCCTTAGCACATGCAAGCGTCGGAGGCGAAACAGCGGCGAAAAGGGGGAGTCCCCATGAGGACGACCTTGGCTGCTATCCAGGTAAGCGGCGCACTGCGTAGCGGCCGAGCGGGGGGAACTTTTTGAAGGCCACCGTGCCGAAAGCGAACCCGTGACGCCGTGCACGCGGCGGTTGCTGCAGTCCTGAGTGGGCGCGATACCAGACTCCCCCATTTGGGAGAATGGGAGTTGCTTTCGGCAGCGAAGAGCTACTGAAGGCTCAGCAGAGTGATCCGTTTCGAGTCTCGGAGGGACGGAGCGCCGTATACGCTGCTTGCTTTGCGGCGGGCATCGTTAAACCGTCTTGAGAGGAGCGGAGCGCCACTACGCTGCTTGTTCTGCGGCGGGCGCGATTAGGGGGCTGAAACAGCGTGTGTCGCTGAGTCCCCGGCGGATTCATTTTGCTGGACCATGACGGGCTCCTGCTGAACTATATAGCCACTGACGACGAGTCCATCGACCCGTTAAGGTGGTTATGCCCAAAAGTCTGGGAGCCGCACTGTTGCGAGCCTCTCACGACGAGCCCATTGCCGGTCACCTGAGTGGCTCTAGAGTTTTTGCGAAACTGAGCAAGGTTGTGACTTGGCTTGGCTTGAAGCGTGACATTTTTCGCTATTGCCGTTCCTGCCACGTCTGTCAAACGGTGAAATCAAGGGGTGGCAAGCCGCCCGGCTTGATGAAACCGATTGTCAGTGAGCGTCCGTGGAAAGTAGCCACCTGCAATCTAATGGGGCCGTTCCCCAGGAGTAAGCAGGGGTTCATACATCTGATGGTAGTTGTTGATCATTTTTCCAAATGGGTGGAGCTGTTTCCGCTGTGGAAAGTGACAGCGCGAGCGGTGCTAGAGAGGCTACAGGAAGTGTTTTGTCGGTTCGGCTTTCCGAAAAGATTGATCACGGACAATGCGTCGTATTTCACCGCTCGGGTGTTTGGTGATACGTGCCGTTTCCTAAGAATAGATCACTGCACCAC